CTGGGTGCGGGCAGCCTGGACCAGGTCAATCTGGGTGCGGGCAGAGTGGACCCACACAACACAGCCCCCAGGAATCCTGAACCCGGGGAACGAGACCACCCCGGGGTCCCCCCCAGCACAGAGCGGTGCGAAGGCCAGGGGAAGGAGAAGGGGTGCCACCGTGCCACGCGGTCCCTCAAGCGCACGTGGTGACAGCAGGAGCGAGAGCGACGGGGGGCGAGGTGGCAGTGGCAGCAGCAGTGGGGGGCACGGTGGGGGGTTGCCCAGCTGACCCCTTCTCAGCCTTCTTCTCCTTCTGCTTGAGGTGGATCTTGGCGTGTCGCTTGCGCTCGTCAGAGCGGGCGAACTTGCGGCCGCAGAACTCGCAGGCGAAGGGTTTCTCGCCGGTGTGGGTGCGGATGTGGGTGGTTTTTTGAGGTGGTCGCTACGGCTGAAGCTCCTCATGCAGATGCGACACTGGAAAGGTTTGTGACCCGTGTGGATCCGGAGGTGACGAGTGAGCTCGTCGGAGCGGGAGAAACGACGGTCGCAACCCTCGGCGGGACAAGCGTGGGGTCGCTCGTGAAGCGGCGTCTTGCTGGGCCGGTTGGGATACTTGCGGGGTCGGATGGGTTTGAGGGTGAGAGGTGGTTGTGGTAGCCCCCCAAAACCTGGATGGATCTGCTTGTCCTTGAAGGCCTTGATAGTCTCCAGTGGGGTGATGGGGGGTGGGTTGACACGGATGGGGTCCAAGCTCTGGAAGGGTTTGTGCTCCGTGATGGTGCCCATGTCGTTGGGGTGGTGGTAGAGGTTATAGTCTGGGATCATGGGGAAGAGGTTGCTGTCCAAGGCGGGTTTGGCTGCCTGGTAATCCTGGGGGGAGTAGGTGAGGCCAGGGTTGCTCTGGGGGTCGTGGAAGGAGACAGGCTCTGGGTAGAGGTCACTGCAGGAGGAGTAGGGTGGCAGAGCGGGGTACATCTGGTCCACCTCACCCTGCGGTGGGCCCATACTGCCCGCCGAGCTCTGCGTGCTGGTGAGCGCGCCCGAGGACGGCGGGG